TTGTGCCATCACTATTATTTCCAAATGAAGGTCATGTCTCATCAAATCGCCGTAACGACACGGCTGTATTACAGCGCCGGAAAACCTCGAACCAGAAAAATGGAAGCCTGATGTCACTGCAAAGACATGTTCTCTCATTTATAATATAAAAGATAGTAATAGATAATACCTAATAGATGGGGAAATTGGAGTACTCTTAGTAAACATTTATCCAACAGATCATTAAAGGTATTTTTATATATACTGTAAGGGAAGTGTGTGATGCAGATGTTATGACTGGCCCTTCGGATGAGTCAGTCGGCAGATGATACATGAAAGTATTTTTTTTAAGAATGCGAAGATACAATATACCGTAAATAGAAGAGAGTTTTATTTGCAAAGAATATTTGCTGTTTTTTTTTCTTTTTCTAGAAACGAAATGCAAACAATGATTTTATATAGCAGTCCCATGGCTTTGCTTTTGTATTCAAGTCTGCTAGTTTAATGCATATATTTAAGAGGACCATTATCTCATTGATCCATTCTTGAAAAATCATTAATTCGTCCATATCTTAAATGCTAACTTTCGTTTATTACTCCAAGAGTTCCTAATAATTTACTCCTGTTCATTTCACTAAGTGTGTATTATTTTTAAATAATATGACCAGATAAATAGTGCTTTTTTAAATACTAAGATGAACTGGAATCAATGAATGATGTATTCCTGTCGAAGACCAAAGTAAGCTATATTTAAAACTCTCTGGTTTTAACTTAAAAAAAATAGTTATAATTTTTATTTTTTAAGCATATAACTGCTTGATGTTTAAATCTAAAGAAAATATAACTGGAAAAAATTAGTTTTCCAAAATACAAAGAAGCTCTACTGTATTTTGGAAAATTCATAACAAAATATTTCTGATTATTATCTATCCAGTGGCCTATGCATATGTTGATTAACTTCTGCAACTACAATTCACAGGAACCTTAGATACAGAAGATCTTACATAAAGAAATATTTATGTATCATTAATGATAATGACACACCAGGAATATGTGCCAGAACAGTATCTTTCTTATTTGAATGTGTGCCACATCTGATTGTAGGAGTTTGTTGCGAATACAGTTCTGTCATGACTACCTAATTTGTATAGCAAACAATATAGTAGAGCTGACATTTTATGCCAGGGATGTTTGTAAAGTTAAATTGTGGCAGTCAGCACAGCTAAGCAAAGTGAGTTTTTATACAACTAGCAAGGGTGTGTGCAAAAACAAATTGGAAGCAATTCTTGGCCATCATTTCAGTGCTAAATATGACAGACTAGTAATACGTTATGAGATTGCACACTTAAACACATACTGATTTTATTGCCAGCACTGGTGTCCTTAATAAACTTCCATAGTGTCCAATACTCCACTATGATTGGCCGTGTTTGAAACCCAGACTAGACCAGCGGAAAACAGTCTCATAAACAATCTTAACAAACAATGCTAAAAAGGTTCTACAGTTATTATTTTTCATTATGGCTAAATTAATTGAGTGCCAATAAATGAGACACAACATGTTTGTATATAGGTATATATTGTATTTATTAATTTTGTAAGTAGAATATGTCTGAAATTCTTTCTCTTCCCTTTCTCAATGTACTGAAACTGACTCCAGTGGTTGTAGTTGGAAATATTGCTTGTTTAGTATTCTATACATAAATTATTAATTTAATATAACACAAATAAATATTAACATTAAAAGCTGATCAAAAATATTCTTTCTTGTTAATTGCCTAATAATATTATGTAAAAAGGTGCATGTTGCAAAAGTAAATTTACTATTAAAAGCAAACATTATGAAGATAACAACGTCACTAATGTATCATTGCTAGATATGAGTCTGCAAGAGCCTGTTGTTATAAGTAAATAATGTCAAATAAAACAAAGATTACACAAGACTACAGACATTAAGATTTTCAACTTCAAGAATAGTGAATATGGAGACTAAGTTTATTTACTACAAAAAGGTTAAGGTTTATCATCTCCCAGTGTAACTCAGTCTGTTGTCACTGCAGCTTGTCACAAAGTAATGACTCACTGCGGATAAAATAATAAACAAAGGGATTAAAAAGTTACTTTATCTCATTTTGCCAGAACTATGTGCAATGGCAAACTGTTTTGATGCACTGGCAATCGTCCAAGCGAGTCACACATACAAACACGGCCCTCGGGTAAGGCGGTGAACAAGGAAGTGGGTGTTAAAACATTACAATAACCAGTCCATAAGTGCCCTAACATTACCTTGAAAGGTTCATGTATCTCAATTCGTTGGCGATTATGCCGCTAAGATACGTAGTATCATATATGTATACATATAGATCATAAACAGAAATAATAATAAAAAAGTACATAGAAATAAGTAGCACTTAGCAACATAATAGTCTCTGATTTTACATCACCTAGAATTAGTGCTTTGAGTTGACAGTACATATTAAATGTTTGAAATGTGGATAGGTCTAAAATTAAACTATAGGACATAGTCCCTTAAATCGCTGTATTAATAGAATTAATGATCTTATAAAAATTAATTCACAAAAGAAGAAACCCATTTCATTTAATGATCTACTTACATTCATTTAACTGCACGTTATTCTTAGACGTACTGTGGACTATATTATTGCACAATGTCCGCACGCATATTTTTCGGTAACGAAACCACTTCACTGTTACTGTAATCTCGAGATTACGAATTTATTTTAATAAAATGACAGAAAACAACGGAGTAGAAGAAGACGTGTGGGTCGGTCGGGTGATGAACAGAATATTTTTCGAGATCTCGATAGATGGCGCAGCGCAAATGATTGGCGCATAGACAAGGAGTAGTATTTTTAAAGACCTAATGTCATAGTTACATTGCCAGTAAAAAATAATTGTTAGTCTACTACAAAATAATTACCTTCATTAAATGTTCTATTTTAGTTTCCTCAATGATTTGTATGGCGTAAAAATGGCATTAAAAAAATAAATTAATGACAGCACCGATAATATATTATACTAATATGAGGATCTATACGTTAATAACAATGAGCTGCAGAAATCACGTGATTTTTGATAGATATAATTATCATATAATACATTAAAACATTGGTATTAAAGAACAGCACTTCTTTTGGTTGAAGTGGATAGATTGTTATTTTTGAAGTGAAACTTCTTTACGCACGCTTGACTTCTGGGGTAAGCTGGCGAATGCGTTACGTGTAACGAAAAGTGTGTTCGGGCGAGGCGAATGGAGGTTGAGTGGGGGATATAAGCAAGCTTTCTCGTATAGCTAAAAAATGTATATATACATATATGTATTTACAGGCACTCCTCGTACTTACGGTATGTTAGGTTCTCGAAATACGCGACGTAAATCGAAACGGCGTAAGTCAAGACGGGATGTCACGGACATTAACCTGCGACAAGTGAATTATTCTCCTATGCCGGAAATCAAAACAATTGAGGCATGCTTGAGGATAGAAATATTGTCAAAACATTGTTTGACGTAACTTTTAAAGTAACTTTGTAAAAAACTCGTTTTTTTATTGGTGTGAGTATTAGAAGGAGTTCTATGGCGCAAGTAGTTAGTGCGTTCAGCTGCGACTTCTATCTGGAGCTCCTACATGCTTTGGAACGCACGTCAAGCCGTTGATCCTGGCTGCATCTGCAGTCGTCAGCACCCACCAATCCGCATTTGGCCCACGTGGTAGGTTCCCCAATCTCCCTATTCCATCCATAGGGGAGGCCTGTGCCTCAGCATTAATGTTCAGCTGCGACTTCTATCTGGAGCTCCTACATGCTTTGGAACGCACGTCAAGCCGTTGATCCTGGCTGCATCTGCAGTCGTCAGCACCCACCAATCCGCATTTGGCCCACGTGGTAGGTTCCCCAATCTCCCTATTCCATCCATAGGGGAGGCCTGTGCCTCAGCATTAATAGGCCGATGATGATGATGATGATGAGTGTTTTTTGAGTATTGTTTTATTAACTATTACTATTTACTATACGGCTCCTTGAGATATAGCCTGCTGACAGACGAATTATTATTATTCGAATTAAGAAACCATTAAGACTGAATTACGGTAAATTGAAGTTTTTTTTTATTTTTAGGGTTCCGTACCCAAAGGGTAAAAATTGAACCCTATTGCTGTCACTCTGTCGTCTGTCTGTCTGTCTGTATGTCACGAGTCTCTAGATCGTAAACGGAAGTAGTGACAGTACTGAAATTTAGGTATTTTATGTAGAATGCTTGCCCAAAGTCGCATATTTAGTTACAAATTCAATTAACTCATTTTTCATCCATAAAGAGACGAAATTGTTTTTTTCTTTTTTACCCTAGCATCTGACACATCATTGTATAGGATTGGTTGACTAGAATATAAATACAGTTTTTATAATTTTTTATCTTCAATAATAAAGAAATAGGGGACCGTTAAAGTTGCCATATTTAGACCACTTTTGATCTCAAAATTAAAAAATTTTGGTATATGATATCCTATATGCTGCATTTAAACAACAAACATTGAAAATGCCGATTCATAATTTATTTTGTATGATAAATGATTTTTCCTTTCGCGGTACGGAACACTCCATGCACGAGTCCGATTTGCATTTGACCGGTTTATCGGAATATCGTGTCGAGATAACAATATCAGTAAGTCGTTGCAAGTTTTTAAGTCATTGTCTGTGTGCATAGCAAATTTCACACTTAAATTGTTAGCAAAAACCATCTCTTACTAATAATTGCTAAAAGTCCATTGCTAATTGCTGATAAGCCCAAAAATCTTTAACACTTAGCCGACGATGACCAATTTTGCTTTGTTTAGTTTTTTGGTATCATTGTTATAGTACCAGTTATTATATTTTTTGATGAAATACTTTTACAATTAATTTATATCTTATAGGTATTACTTTTTCATGTTTGTCTAATCCAAAAATTTGGCATTTTGATGATATAAATAAAACAGGGACCTACTATATAATTTGGGTCTCGCATAATGCACATCTCTAAACGATTCCACAGTGCGCCATCTAGCGGATCACCAAAGTCATTCCTTCTCACTCCCACTCGCGCACGCCTTGCCGACGAACGGTTCAATGACTCTGGCGGCCGTTTCTATTTTCTCTCTGGTCCTGTCGTCGGCTCGGCCTACAAGGAAGGGGGTCTTTGTTTGCGTTTCACGTTCGCGTCGCACGGTATCACCCACGGTCGCGCTCCATCGTATCGTCGAGACGGAATGTGCCCGCATAATAAGTGGAAGCGTGGGTTTCGCTCCTCCCGGTCGATGTGAAATGTCGTGTAGTGTGCCAGGGTGGCGCCTTCTAGTGCGAGTGCAGTGAGGTGCAGTGGTGTGTGCGAAGGAACGTGGGTCCGGTGGGTCGGTACGGCGACGGCAAGCGAGGTGCGCGGTGGCCGTGCGGCCATGACCGGCGACATGCCTCTGGGGAGCGCGCACGCGTTCGGGCGCGCGTTGCTCCGGGACGGGGCGCTGCCGCCGCTGGAGCCCGGCCCGCCCGCGCCTCCGCCGGCCGCCGCCCAGCCGCCCGACAAGCGCCCGCCGGCGGCCGCCGCCAGTCCCGAGCAAGTCATGAAGCTCTACATGAACAAACTCACCCCTTACGAACACCGCGAGATATTCGACTACCCCCAAGTGTACTTTATAGGCGCGAACGCCAAGAAGCGGCCCGGCCTCGTTGGCTTCCCGAACAATTGCGAGTACGACAACGAGCAGGGCTCCTACATCCACATACCGCACGACCACATAGCTTATAGATACGAAGTGCTCAAAGTTATCGGCAAAGGTAGCTTCGGGCAGGTGGTTAAGGCATACGACCACAAGAAGCGCGAGAACGTCGCGCTGAAGATGGTGCGGAACGAGAAACGGTTCCATAGACAAGCGCAGGAGGAGATCCGCATACTGGAGCACCTCCGCGAGCAGGATAAGGACAACACGATGAACGTGATCCACATGTTCGACTCGTTTACGTTCAGAAATCACACGTGCATCACGTTCGAGCTGCTCTCGATCAACCTTTACGAGCTGATCAAGAAGAACAAGTTCCAGGGGTTCTCGCTGCAGCTGGTGCGCAAGTTCTCGCACAGCCTGCTGCAGTGTCTGCATGCTCTAAACAAAAACAGGATCATCCATTGTGACATGAAACCGGAAAATGTGTTGCTGAAGCAACAAGGACGCTCCGGAATCAAGGTCAGTATTATTTATCAAGTTTCTATGTGCCTACTACTTGACAACAGTATAATTTATTAAAAATGCTGTATTAACTCTGAATTTTTAGTGAGAAACACACATACTCCGTCCCAATTTCGTATAGTATAGAACACCTGTTTGCCGTGTTGAGTTGCCTTTGGCCACCGACCGAACGAGATGAAAATCAATAAGATTGTAATATTTTTTTGTAAACACGCCAGTGTAGTGTGCGTGGCCCAATCAGCTGGCCACACCCTTAGCTACCTGGCTGTTGTGCCACCCCAATACACAGGGACCCGCGACTTGTTTACACGAAATTCACAAATGTTGTAATTTTCATCGGCATCCTATCTTTGTTAGTATGTACCGTGTAATCGGTGAGTGTGTATCTTTACGGATGTGTTATCAATATTGTTGTTGTAACGTTATTACTGAAAGTAAGAAAACTGCATCCAATACGTAAAAGATAACGCACGTAAAATGGTACACGATTGCAAATGTACTGTCTAATTACTTGTAATCATTATCAACGTTTGAATAATCAATATTATAATCGATATTTTGTAATATGTATTCCTTCTAAACATATCAGGTTAACCACAAACTAATAAAACCTAGCTTGATTGATCAGATCAAACTGATGTACAAGTTGAACTAGCTATAAGTGACATAAATGGTTAGGACTCAAATGATCAAATAGATTTAATTTACATTTAATCTAAACAAGTTTATATATAAAATGTATACATCTGTCGCGTGTTATTTGTATAGTTTTCAAAACTCGATTTATTTCGATATGACTATTGAAAATCCGTTTTGTAACGATTGTGTTTCTTATTTTACGTTCCAAGTGGACCCTTCTGTGACACGCATGAGTATCGTTCACGTAACCCTACATTTAGTTCGTGTAAAAGGGGATGTGTGTAACACTTTTGAGGGTTCATGAGGGACAAGATACAATATACCTAACCATAACACAGGTACATACATTCTTTGCTGAGTTAGTAGACTTTAAAGCAACACTGAGCCAAAATACTTGATTAACACAGGGGTTAACTTTTCAAAAATGTGTGTGATAATGGTGTTATCGTTAAAAACCATGATGCAAGAAATCGAGCAAAAGAAGGACGGTAAAGCGTCGGGCATTATGGTGATAGAGCGCCAGCTATAAGTAGACTTAATACTACAGCGTGGTAATTTGATTTAAAATATATTCGACAGTATGAACCTGATTGCCGTAGTCATAGACACACCTGAACTACGCCGTATTTGGCATTCGTTAGTTTTAAGATGATGTCTGAAAAGAATAGGTGCGGGTTGCCCCCAGCACATCGCCAAGTCCTGCAATAGGCCCTGTCTGTTGATAGGCATTTTTCCGTTAATTTACTCACGAACTTTTAATATTTACATTGGGAACTTGGCAAACAGACTTCTTTCGCTCGTAGACTGGCTAATAATTTGAGTTTGAGATATTTACTAACTACTACCAAGATAATTATTTACTAGTCAGTTGACCTGCCATACGACGTTATGACTGAACTTATTCCTCCAGTAATGCAAATAAAAATTCAAGAACTCTACTACAACGGCACCTACCGAGTCTTCCAATGCATCTAAGCTCTGGCAAGCAAAAACAACGTGGTTCGCATACAAAAAATATCTACAAAGCCCCTTATACACGTTGGCCAAGCGAATGCCAATAACAATGTATAGACAACATATTTGTCTTGTCATGTCACTTGCCTAATTTTCTGAGTATATTAGCCACTTGCATTGGTCTTCTTCAAGCTTGCCCAACGGCTATAGACGGTAGCTCTTGGCTTGTATCAGTTTGTCTACGCTCTCGTTGGGTTAAGCTCGGCCAATATGTATTGGCGGTTTGAAATTGGCTCAGACAAACATACACCATGTCCACAGGAATTTATAATTTACTAGCTGTGCCCTGCGGTGTTACCTGCGGTTTATAAGGGATATTTTCCCGCAGTAAAACTAGCCTATGTGTTAATCCAGGGTGTCAGCTAACTCGATACCAAATTTTATTAAAATCGCTCCAGCTGTTTAGACGTGAAAAAGTTACAAACATACACACTCACAAACTTTCGCCTTTATGATATTAGTGTGATAGTATTAGTAACGATAGGTAGGTGCTAATTATTAGCTGATCTTGAAAACATTGGCATTGCGAAATCTGGTCAAGACTAAGCCGTGATGCCGAATTAATTTTACAGTTTTGCATTGTCGAGTTGGAAGCTAATCGGTTGGCTTGTAGGTCAAGATCCGACCGTTCACTGCTGCGTGGCTCGAGGCTTCACGATTTTCACCAAAAACTTGAGATTTGATGCAACATTTTCATTGAATTTAGGTGCTCAAACGCGCAGTGATATAAATGCGGGAGTATGTATGTTGGTTTTTCATTATTTAGCTTAGCATCGAAATAATGTATGTATTTATATGTTTTTTGATGTATAACATCTTTCCTCTCGCTTTCCTGCAATTTGTGGGAGTGATTTAATCAAATGGGACGGAAGTGTGCAACAGGAAGTTGCGAAAGCGCGCGCTATTTGATTTGATTTTAGAACATACTGTTCAAATGACTTATTCCTTTTGTAGTAGGTTTTATTTCATTTTTTACTAATATAAGGTGAGGTTTCAAATGTTACACATCATACGCGACTACTGTAAGGTTCGCTCTTTTTTTTATAAATAAGTTGGCTGCAAATAAGGAAGCTGACTGCACTTCCATGTGGGAAATATAGCGAGTACGGAAACGTGACATCGCGAGTTTCGCCTATGTTATACTATATGAAAATCTTCAGTGACGTACGTAAATAACCAGCCGAGAGCGAGTCAAGACGACCGTCTAATGTTTAAAATAGAACGCGCTATGGGTGAGAGCTACTGTCGACAGCGCCAGATAACTATTATCAATACGATGTTCACAGTTTCGGTTTATAAAACGTAAACTGATCGTCTTATTTCCTTATGGCTCAATTAGACTACATACATCACAAAGGCTGGCTACATATTTACACTGGAATACGGGCTTAGAGAAGCTGTCGTCTAACCAAAACGAAAACTACCCGAATACAGGTGTACTGGACTCATTTACAATTAGTCGTTCACCGGAATTCCATTGGCACTCGTATTTGGGCTAACGACCAATAGAGGCTTTGGAAGCGAAAGAAAAATGTCGCAAACAATTTGCAAGGGTAGCAAATACTAAAAGCTATTAAAGCCATATTTGGATATCAAAACAAAAATCAGTCATGAACTTGTGGAAGGTAAAATAATATGACTGTACACAACAGTAGTATATTACTTTCAATATGAATTAAAATTAGTATATTTTTAATGTTATTTAGGTAAGTATTTACTTGTTTACAAGGCCAGTACGTAGGCGAAAGTTTGGCAACTTGTCATTGCGGCCACTATGGTTTCTGGGTAAGATCTTTAGGCCCGACTGATACCAAATTTAGTGATTCATCTTCTTTATTATTTGCTCTGCTACTTATCTCGTCTACCTCTCTTTTCGATGTCATACAATTTTGTTCCCATCTAAAAATGCCAAGATTCTTTTGCAGTAGTTTGTTTTGAGTGTGTATGCTGTTGGTCGCAGATGACCTTTACAGCGACACCGGGCGGGGGGACGGTGAGGTCCTAAAGGGACCTCAAGCCGAAAATTGGTGAGTGTCTCTAGAGGTATTCCCGGCGGTTGGCATCTTCCCACAGGGGAGTCTCTCTGTCTGGAGCCTCTAATCCACTCGAACCTAAGGGGTTCGGCTCAACTAGAGGACGTCTTTGAGACCTTGCCTCTAGTTAGCTGTTCTCGTGGGGTTGCAGTACGTAATTTGCCGTAAACCCACATCATTCTTACTTAAATAAAACCATACCGCGATGAAGAACACGATACGCGTCATCTATGCAGCGGTAGTAAAACTCAAAAATTATTAAAAAAAACAGTTAGGTATAAGGAAATCAATTTGTACAAAAATATGTATTGCTTTTATAATAATGTCACAAATATAAAAATTACATTTGAATTAACAAATAGTAGAAATGAAATGAGTTTTTATTAATTCAAGCTGGGATTTCGGCTTATACGGAGAGACACAGTTGTCTTAAAGGCTTCGCATTCGTAATGTGGAAAATAAAATCTTATCCATTTCAGCATATTTAAGTAACTTTTTAAAAGTGACCGTTTTGTTGTAGGTTCGAAAAGAATAATAAAATAAATAAATAAGAATTATATTGAAAGTAGTTACATTAGTTTAATTATTTAATATCGCCGTGTCGTACAAGATCGTTGGAAACACTTGCTGCTACAACTAATTACCACATTTTTCGATTAGCAAACTTTTAGTACAAATAGAGTTTAACAAAATCTGATCTTGCCTTAGGACTTGGCATAGTATATGGAATCTTAACGGTCAAGGTAATGCATCAGTGGCGGTCTTAGGCGGCAAGGGTCATCACCTTAGCCTCGCTCTTGTAACGCTCTCGTATAGTCAAATATAAAAATCCCTTGAGGATTTCGCCGTCCCAAGCCCGGTTACTGTAAAGGTTATAGTTGAGTTTCCTTAAGGGACAAAAGATCTATCGCCCGGCCTAAGGCCGACCCTGGTGGCAATCGCGGCCCCCAACACAGGTCAAATGTCAAATGCCTTGCCTAGCCTGTTGACTCCATCCACTCCATCCTCTACACCGTGGAATTAAAAAAAAATGTATTAACATACAACACATTGAAATTAGTAATAACTGTTCTACAGCTTTTACAGCGTTCTTGTTTATGTTTTGAGTAGTTTTGAATAGAGAGGCTCTAAAAGCACATTTATTTTTGTTTTTAGTCAGTCCAGTAAATAAAAAACTATGAATTTTGTCGTTTGTGATCAGCCTTAATTGTTTAGATCTTCTTGTTCTTTCAATGTACGAATGAGTTTGTCAGGTTGTCTGTATACATAATGTCACCGTTAAATTGTAAATACTAGTTATAGGTATTTGGT